TTGTTTCTTTACTTACTGAACAATTTGCATAGCAAATATACAACTAACTTCATATGGTCAGTGATATATTTGAAGCGGGTCATCATTGGCCGTGCGGCATTTGCTGTACCGTGGCGTATGACATGCGGTGTTTGTCAAACAAATTATTTTATTCACGTAGTAGGACTGCGGCTGACAAAGATGGCACGAGTCGCGGGATTGTATCAATATATAAGTATCTCTATAAAAAAATTGCTATATTTCAGAAGATCTTAGATGTTGTTGACTCCTAGCATAGAGTAAGGCATTTATTGAGGTAACCAATCAAATTTAAAATCAGTTTTCAGACCTACCATTGTTTTTTGTTAGATATTTATAGGATAATTATTATCCTACTAGTTTTGTACATCAAAATTTTACCTTAATAAAAATATAGTTATCTAACACCTTATCAAAAATTGATTACAAAAAATTATTATGGTTTATAAATTTTAATACAACAACTCTAATTGTATTAGAACATAGTAAATCACTTAAATTGAAATTAAAACAAAAAAGAACATTTTTTTATTTTTTAGTTCTTGGTTGCTATGAAAAAATGTATATCTATCATCTCATCATTGATTAGTCGAGATAAATATTTAAAAAATCTATTAGTAATAAATATATTTTCTTAAATTATTTAATCGGATAAAAATTAGACAGTGTGTTTATTTAAATTAGTCATAATAGTACAGTTTTATATTTAAACCTAACTTACATAAAACATTATATATCTTTATAATTAAGTTGTTCAAAATGTCAAAATAGGCTATTACATACAATAAGACTACACTCAAAAATATTTACTTTGTACAAATAGACAAATTACTTTATTTCAAGTAAATATTTATTTTTATATAATTTTTTTATAACTTAAACAACATTGTGCAATATTTGGAAAAATGTATATCTTATACATAAATTGCTATCAACACAATTTTAAAAACTAATTATATTTGCTGATGTTTGCGATATGTACTCAGGTATTTGAATTTTTTATAAATTATTTTTAATTGATAGCGTTTTTAGTGCTTTTGGACTTCATTGATGATTTACTGCGTAAAATACTATTCGTATCTGTACTCTTGCTAGAAATGAATGTATTTTTGTCCTCTAACTTATACACATCAAAAACTACCTCATATTCTTCTGTATTTGATTTATAATCGAAAGGTAGTGATATAGCTACAGAAATTTCTTTTAAAATTTAAATTAATTTATGTTGATACATGAAAAAAAAATCTATTAATTTAGGCATATATATTTAAATAAAATATTGTATTTATTGTACCTTTTTCCATTTTTTTAATACAATCTGTTTTTACTACTTTTATAGCTTTTAAAAAACTATCTTCTACATTTTCCAGAGATGATACAAATGAGCTTAAAAGTTTCCCATTGTCTGTACTACATCTAGAGTTCATAATGGAAATTTTAAGATGTATTTTAGTAGTATTGTAAAACAAATTATATTATTATTGATACTATTACACATGTTATTAATGATAACTTGTTACTGTGGTTTTCGTTTGTTTTTTTTTTCGAAATGTACAACAATAGTATAAAATATTGTAAAAAAATTCATTATTTAATTTTTTCTTTTTTTACTATTTATTAATATCTTGACAAAATGTTTGGATGATCTAACTTAATATTTCTTTTATAATCTGATAATATAATATAAATGTTATGCTTTATTATGTTACATGTGATTCATGAACGATAAGATACTAATTCTTAAATCTTGGAAACAATTAAATTTTTTTTATATTTTGTAAAGGAATATATCGTTTGATTAAAAAGAACTACAATAATATGTAGTTAAATTTTATATTCATAGACTGTACTATATGTATATTTTATCTTCGTTGTGTAGCTAAAAAGCTATTGGTTTTATTTTGCTTTTTTTGTGATCTGGACCACAAAAGCTGGTTAGCTGGTAACCACCGATCTTACTGAACTGATTTTGATCAAAGATACGTCAAAATATTACAAATGTTGAAACTATCTAAATCATTTTGAAAAATTTTCCTCAGTCACGTTAATTAACAAAAATGTTACAATAATTTACAGTTGTCATAAAATCGTTAATATTTATATTTTTAGTCTTCACATTATATAGAAATATGATGTGATTTTATTATTATTATTATTTATTTATTTATTGTGTGTGTGTGTCTGTTACTACTTTTCTCAGCTCTCTCTAGACTGATTTTGATGAACAATTTGCCAAAAGATCACAAATTGTATCTAGTCGAAGACATTACCCTCAAAAATTGAAAAAAAGTCCACTATATCAATTAAAAAGTTACTTAACCCATATTCTCTATATAGATATTTAAAATTATTCATTTCTAATGTTTCAAAGTATTTATTGACGAATTAAGTTTGATACGGTAATGGTGCCAACTATAAAGTTAAATAATTTTACTTTGTAGTTCATCATTTTTTAACTATATTTGTATGTGTGACACAATACATAGGTAACATATTGCTATATAAATCATAAATTAAAAAAAAAAAATTATTTTTGTTTCACCTGAATTCAATAATGAAATTTTACAATTATAATCAAATTGTATAAAACGCTCAATTACGTAATTTTTTTTCAACAACATTTTGATTGTTTTTTTTTTTTTTTTTTAAAGTAAATCATTAAAATTAATTAAATTCTGGATATTTCAATTGTAGAATTTTTTTAAACACCAAAAGTTACTTCGAAATGGTTAATATGATTTCTATTTAAGTATTCTATTACGATAAAAATGCAAAAAAATTGTGAGATTTTTTGATAAATATACTGTAAATAGTAATTATAACATTTTCTGACTTCACATTAATCTTAAATTTCCATTTTTTTAATTCTCATAAAAATTTTCTTTTGACAATGTCAATTTCAAACTACGCTTTAATTCCTCCAGTTTGACCATGCTATTCTCTCCACATTTAGGAACGAAATGTGTCCTTTCGGGACACCCTCTGTCTCATGATGGACTTTCCAGATCGCCGTGTTCAGCCTTGGGTTATGTTTTGCCGGTATTTTCAGGATCTACTAGGAATTTTTTGGCAGCCCTGGTATATGAGTGATTATTTGTTTATACTTTATCGGATTGTAGGTTTCCATTTAGATTTCTATACCGTCCCAAGGTTTTATCAAGTGGACATGATCAGTGAGCCACTTAAGAGACACTTATCCGGCAGTATCAAGTCTCCAACACAAGATTCAGTTCCCACGAGTGGTCGAGAAATAAAGGTCCATTACAGCAGAGCTTGATACTGTGATAAGGCTGTATTTATCTATGGTGCACCAGTTGACATAGAGGATCCCAATAGACACTTTACCTTTCGGCTAACTACCCTATGTCAAGTTAGCAACTCTTTCACTTGGTATGGCTGGGTTAGGGTTAGGTTAGGGCCTATTCACTGTTATCAAGCAGGTATGCCCAGGGCTACCTGTCCTAACTAACCAAAGTCATGACCGGCTGAGAGTAGTGGTACGTATTGCCACCTCTGCTGAATTAACTAGGGTTCGTGTGGTTGTTAAGCCCGTGATTCTTACGAATCCTTCTGCGAGAATTATTTTTGTTTAAATGCCATGGTGTTATTTATTTAACGGATACAAAATCTTTCTTGCCAGGACATAGACGACTTATACTCATCATCTTCATAAAATGTCATAATATTCATAATTTAATACATGACCTAAATTTTGTGGAACATCTGGTAATATATCATACTTTTTGACAAATCTCTAGATCAACAAACTAAATACTCAGATGTATTTAATTCTACATGCATTTTCTCTAAATGAAGATTGCGGTAAAAAACTTAAAATTTTTTTATTGTGTTCTGTAGTTTAAATTTTGTTAATTTTTAACATTTGAAATTTATTTGAAACATAGATTATACAATATCACATTTAAAATCATTATAGAATAATAACTTCTTAATGGTTTTAATTGAGCTCTAAACGCCAATTTACACAGAAAGTCGCCATTTTTATAAAGCCATTAGAGTTTAAAATTTCATATGAAATTTTTTTTTTTTTAATGTTAACTGTTTGTTATAAAAGGTCAATTTTAAATTGTTAATTCGATTAAATTTATATTGAATAATCTGTGTTTTTAACGTTCTGGCTGTTTTTAAAATTTTGTACATTGAAATAGCCATAAAAATGGGACGGTTGTAAAGAAAAAATGTTTTATTTCTAATTATAGCATAAAGATAATCCCCGGAAATTAAAAAAAATATGAGGTGGTCGTGCAACCACTTCTGGATGATTTGACATGGATTGACTCTTTAGTAACATCTATAAGGAATAATTTATAATTTATTAGGTAATATTAAATAAAAAGTAACATAATGATAAAAAAAGAAATAATGAATTCTTTTAGAACATTTTATATTATTGTTATAAGTATTGAAAAAAAATAAATAAACTAAAACCATAGTAACAAATAATCATAAATAACATGTGTAAAAGTATCAATAATAATATACTTTATTTTATAATACTAAAAATTTTAAAATATATATTTCTTATTTTTTGTGAAAAATATAATTTTATACAATAATTTTCAATAAAAAAAAATTATGTTTCGAAAAGTTAATATGCAACTTTTTTAGAATTAATTTAAATAAAGCCGCTAAAACTGTTTAAAGACATAAAAATAATTTTAAGTATGGACATATTGCTAATCTCTATGGTTTCTTGTGAAATTAATAAAAATTAAAATTAATGAAATTTATAAAAATTAAAGTCAATGGAATTGTTTTCATCATGTTAATAGTCATTTCGATGATTTGTTTTCAAATTGTTTTAAGTATAGAAGATATTAGTCAAATTTCAGAAAACAAAAGTACATAAAAGTATTAAGCTTTACTGAGTAATTTGTTTCATATGAGAATCGAATTAAAAATAGTTTTGACCACAAGATCGTTTTCAAGTCGATTTTCATTTAACAAAAAATTTATTTTAGTAGTTAGTGAGATGTAAATGTTCGCAGATGAAGTCTCCCAATCGCCAATTAATGACGTTGCGCATCTATACGAATATACAACAAATCCTTTACAAAAATGTTCCACAAATAGTAAATGACTCAAAAGCTTTGCTATATACTTTATATAAATATTAAATATCGATATTCCAGATATTTTTTTTGATCAAGCGATTACTCTTGCTAAAGTTTCTGGTGATTTAGTACGTCAGGAAAAATCTCATCAAGATTGTTCACATTCATGTCAACAAAATGAACAATGCGATAATGATTTAGTGTTTAAAAGCGCCGAACGGGTATGGGGTATGTCGATTGAGATTTAATTATTTCACAATTTAATAGTATTTAGAGTTTCCGAGGTTAGCAGATTTGTAAGCTTCACACTTACCTTATGAGTTATTAAAGGGTTGAATCTTCAACCCAAATTGGAAATTTACTAGGGTTTTTTTTAGTGGATAATAATTATCTACTAGTATAATTGTAATAACAATCATTGTTATGGCAGTTAGAGTTTAACTATAGTCATAATAGTAATCAGTTTTTATCGATGACACCTTTTTTATGGGGTTTCATAGGGGTTATATAGGTTTTATTTATGCTAAACATAGTAATCATAATTATTCTGACAATGGTTTTTATACGTAGTTAATATTCTAAATTTTGAACTGGGTTTACTTGGGTTGATTTTTTTTTAATGAAATTTTAGCTTCAATTTGAAATTGGAAAGTTAATGGTTATACCATAATTTTTAGCTTCGATTCGAAGCTGAGAAGGTATTGGTTTTACTAAGATGTGTTTTTTTTTTTTTTTTTTTTTTTTTTTTTTTTTTTTTTTTTTTTTT